TCTGTGACTTAGTTTTCCAGGTGTAAAGTGGGGATAATAATACTGACCTGCTTTACAAGAGTATTATGACCGTCTGTTGCAGTGAATGGAGTAATATAATTAATGCATTGCTTGTAAGGGGAAATGCTTGGATGGAAAGTACTGCAGAGTGCAAAGTACCAATAAACAGAGTATTAGTAATTGTGTTCAGGGTATTTATTAATGAAAGACTATTGTTCCAAATCATTTACAAGTACATTATATAAAAAGGCTTTATGTTATGTACCCACACAATATTTATCTACAGATATATATAGAGAGATATATAGATATATTCAGTATATTTTTGTTTCACCTTCTCCATTGTAGTGGTTTGTTCAAGATTTTTTTTCCTTTTTATAATGTTTCAGTCCTAATTCCTAATTAAAATGTTAGGACACTAAATAAAAAAGCTGCAATTAATTGCAACAGATGGGGTTTTCTTTGTTGCCTGTCTCAGACATAGCAGATGATTAACTATAAAGAGGCAGGCCAGAAAGAAGAACCAAAAAAAAGAGAGAAAGAGGAGAAAAAGCAGAATTCTATCTATGAAATGAATAACTTGGGACCAAAATTTCCTCTTGTGTTGAATAGTAAAAAGAATTCAGCCAGGCTCTGCATTGTAGACACAGGCTTTTGGAAATGAGCAGTAATGTGTGGATTTAACAGCGTTATTCCTGTAGCATTTCTTGTTACATTTGTCACATTTGAAATCTACATCCTGATTATTCAACCTATTTTGAATTCTTTTGTCATCTCCTCTCTTTTCACTCACTTCTGTTAAAGGTCCCATTACAAAAGCTGCAAGAGAGTCAGAAAAAGGAGACGAATGCAGCCAAAATCCTTGCCATCAGCCAGGGCCTGCCTGGGTCAGGTGGGTGCATTTCTTTTAAACATTAATTCCTCAGTGTGTTTGTTTATTTTTGGTTTTGGAACAGTTAGATCATGAATATGGCACAATGGAGGGCCACTATTCCATATCCATAGCTAAAACTAGTGTTCCTGTAAGACAACTTATTGCATCTACCAGCAGTTTCTGTTCCCCAAAATGCTGCGTGCCTCTTTGCTGATGTAAACATTATTTCGGAATGAATTTAAAAGCCAGATGCTCCATACTCCTTAGTCAGATAAAACTCCCATGGAGTGGTGGATTGGGTCTTTAAACCCAAGTGCCCTGAGAGGGATCAGTATCAGGGATGCTTGGTGTACTTAACCCAAGTCTTTCTAGTTGTTGATATTTAGCAGTTGCATACACATTTCATTTTGCAACTGTTTGTTTGATATTTTCCCTGGAACCTGGCATGATGTGGCTATAAACACTAAACCATTACTTCCCAAGAGTATGAGCTTGTTCTCCCCAGCTTTGCACCTCATTCCCATTCTGATTCAGGTTTCCACCCTTTAAGTGACAACATAATGTGCAAGGCGAGGGAGATCCAGACCTATTTTTAAATTAAACATTTATTAATTGAAAAATATTCAGGGTTAACATAGATTTCCAGTGTCTTAAAATGTGACTTTTCCCCATAGGAAAATGTACAATAACCTACCAGATCATCAGTAATCTGGTTACATGAACTATGCAGCATAGGTCTACAACACACCTACAAACATACGTCTTTACTTTTAGTTTGATGTCTGTCTGACCCAGGTCTGTTTTTACAGTTTTACTGGTTTCATTTTAACAATGTAAGCTTGCCCACAGCTTGGCACAGCTTCAGGCTAGTATAGTCTTACCCCTCAAGAGAGTAATACAGCCAAGTCACACCACAAGAGTAAAAGAACCTAAGGGGAAAAACTGCATCTTATATCAACAGGAGTAAATTAATCAAAATATTGGTCCAGAGAGTCAGTAGCAAGTGTGAACATGGGGAAGTGAGTGAAAGAACTGCAGCAAAGAGCATGTAGTTGATGAAAAGCACTATATAAGAGCTAGGTATTATTATTCAGTGAAACCTTTCTATAGTAAACCCCCTTTTCACAAAACAACTTAACTGTAAGTGGCAGTTTTACTAAACTCTGCATTGAAACAATTTGGGATTTTCACTTCTACCTTACTATAGAGATTTGCTAGATCCCAGTTCGCTATGTGTTGCTCAATATTAATCAGATAGCTATTTCTTGAAGGGAGTCACCAACACATTTCATCAGACTCATCTCAGCCTGGAACCACCACCTGGGGTTTATTTTAAACTGAGCACTGCAATCCAAAGCTATAAACACAGAGAAGTATTCTGAAATCCTGCCCCCCAGCAGAGTTGCCACGGCTCACCTTTTTTGGCTGTACTGTGCGGAGGTGCTGACGCTTTGCCTTCTGCAGACTTCTGCCTTTCGAAAGTTTTCTTCACATCTGCAACTTTAAGCACTTTTTCATCCTCTTGATTTTCCTCCCCCTTTGGCTCCTGCTGAGCTGGGCCCCCTCCTGGGATCCTTTCTCCGGTGATTTTAGTTGCACTATCTGGAAATGTAGCTTCCGGCTGGTTTTTGCTAGAAGCAGTCCTATCTTGTGGTTTCTGTAGCACCTCTGACATTGTTACAGTCTCACTGAAACTCACTGCCAAACCTTCAGTTTGTAACCTGGGTGAAGGGGCTTTTGAGGAGTTTTGGTGGCTGTTTGAATCGGATACCACTGAATCTGCCTCACTTCTGAGGTCTTCTCCACTCTCAGGGTGAAGGACGTGGCTGTCATTCTCTCTCGAATCTCCGGCAATCAGAGCACAATTTGAAATTGCTGAGACCATTATCTCAAGGCTCTTCACTACCTGCTTATCTTTATCAAGCTTTCCTGCTGGATCCTTTTCACCAGTCTGACCACTGGGGCAATGGTCTGCAGAGCTTTCAGTAGGAGAGGAAAAATTAACTGTCTGCCTAAAGTTTCCACCTGGATTGCTGCTTTCCCAAAAGGTATGTGAAGCAGATTGCATTGTTCTGGCCTCTTTGCTTTGCAATGTACAATCCATCACCATGACTTCTCGCTCCCTGCTATCTGACCTGCTCTGGACGCTGGGTTTATTTTCCTCCGAGGGAGAGTTCAGTGTCAGCTTGTTAACTTGTCTGCTCTCTATGCTACTTTCTGAGTCCGACCTGCTTATCTGCGTCTTCAGTGTTCCTTGAAAAGCGTTGATCATATTTACCCTTCCAGCTGCAGCTTGCTCTGTCCCTTGGTAACTTTCCTGGTGGCTGGCATTTCTCCGGATCAGAGGCAATTTATATTCTGTCATTTCCTTTCTCCCTTCAGGTTCCATGTGGACAAATGGATGAATTTCTCCCTCTTGGCTGGAGATACTGATTTCAGCTTTCTCCAGCCTATAAACAACAGCGTTCGCCTTCCTGCTTTCAGCCTCATCTCCCAAACACTGCTGTCCAAACTGCATTTCAAACACCTCTGAAGAGACTTCACCTTCCATACCTTTACCACCTGCTTTGGTCACGGTTCGCTTTTTAGAGCATGACTCCTCTGCCATCAGTCCCTGAGTCCCTCTCTCACACACTCCTCTTCTTATTTGTAACTTCTTGGTGGAAACATGCACATCATAATCAGTGCCCTTGGGCTCATCTCTCTGCGTCTGGAGTCCCAGGCCCTCATAGCCAACTTGCTTCTTACTCAGCAAAACATAATCTTCGCACTTCATCTTGGAGGTTTTGCTGGAGAGAGGAGAGTCTCTCCTTCTCATCTTACCTTTGTCATCAAGTAAATATCCAGAGCGGCGCCAGGTAGAGGCTTCCATCACTAGCAGCTCAATGCTTTTAATCACTTATCCAAATGCTTTGAAACTGACAGGCTGAGCTCTCTCCCCACTTTGAGTCTCCAGAGTTTTCACCACCACCTCCTCAGTGAGACTGGACGCAGCTTGGAAACTTCCGTTACTAGGTTATGGGATCCGGCATTATTCAGAATCACAGACGCTAGAGGTGGAAAACACATTTTGGGACGATGGAGTCCATTCTCTGTGGCAGGGCAGGATGTCGTCTCCTGACGATGGAGGGGGTCAGGATTGATATTACACTTGACGTTCGCCAGACTTATCCTACCTGAGCAGGCACAACTACATCCAAAGTCCACTGGCTTCTAATTTGTTGGTGCATAACACTTGACATGCAGGATTTGCTCTATATCTGTGTTCTCCTCCAGTTAATCTCCCTCTTTTCCCCAACTGGGATAGTAATTTTTGGCGATTCCCTACGGTTTCCCTTTGGTGGCTGATCTTGCTGCAATCCCCACAGCTGTTTTCATGATTATTTACAGTCACATAATTTGTTGTAGTTCATCTGTGCTGGATCATCTTCTGTCAACTGTTCTGTGGCTTTTATAGAGATCTTGGAAATATACGTCCACACCCCTGGTTCATTTTCTAGTGCTTTAACATGAGCCTCTGTCACAACCCCCTTCTACCCAAACGCTTCTTCCTGGGAAGCTGTGTGCAGTGCACACTGATGCTGGGACCTTGGTCTGGATCGCAGCGTACTTGGGAAAGATACTGTATACACAAAGTATTTAGGGCAGAGACAGATTGGCTGGAGTTATCTGCAGGAATATGTTATTGTTAAGTGAATTACTGTGTCATCAAAGTATTCCAGAGATAAACAGAGAAGCCCAACACCAGATTCCATTAAGAGACTAAAAAACACACAACTTATCAAAAAACCCTTACTAAAGTTTTGGGCATTGCTAAACAAACCTTCATGCAGAAAGTTCCTCTCTCCAGATTACAGTTCTGCCAAACAAGTGCCTGTAAGCTCTCCTGAGAATGAGGCAGGAGGGAGGGGAAGGAGAGATTTTTAAAGAGTCCTAATCCATTTATATACAGTCCCAAATGCCTGACATTTTCACTAATGGTGAACATGGCATGCCACCAATGACCTATTTCCATCCCATAGGCTCTCCCCAGCTCTTTGCCTTTTAGGGTGTGCTAAGTGTCGAGCTTCTCTACTTGTATCTCACTCAGAATCGCAAGTGGGAATATTAAAAAAAGCACTAGAAATACATCAGTTCCATAGCTGTGTGAGCAACTGTGCATTATGCAAACAGAACTCTCTCCATATCCCTCAACAGTTACTTGCCGACATGGTATATTCAGTCTATGGCTGGGCAAGGCTGAGACTTATATGTTCTGTCCTCCTTGTCTGTGCCTATTTACTGTTGGAGGCTAAGCCGAAGAGCAGGGTAGAGGTACCTCTGAAAGTCGGCCAAATGCAAAGCACGAGTGGTTTGGAAATAGGGCCCCAAGATATGTTTATTTAACAGTGGAAGTTCAGGGGAATTTTTAAAAATGATTTGATTGCTGGCAAAAGGTGCCAGATTGACAGGTCTGGAGGCTGAAATCCTGAGCTTATCCCCAGATCAGGCATCGGTCAGGGAAAGCTTCCCCCACATGGCCACCTGCCTTGCTCTTCACCTGCAGGGATCAGTTCTAGAAGTGGGAGCACAGCTAGTTCTCCATGTCCCTTTTAATCTTTGGCCTCTGAGCTGAAACTGCCAATGAGAGGGCCAGTTCGTGCCAGTGACTTCTGCAAGATGGCCACTTGTCCACTAGGACCTGAAACAGAGATGTCCCACCCCCTTTACACAAGCCACCCGGCAGCCATCAAAAGTAATAACTTCCCATCGCCGCCATCCCAAGCCAGATCCGAACCAATGACCTAGAAGTGAAAGGCTCCACATCATCATCATGCAGCCCCTTGCACCAGCTAGCCCCACTGTGGGGAACAGCATCAGCACACAGCGAGACAAAACCCAGCATCCTACATGCACAGCAAGGCTGCCCAAAACAAACAACTGCCCTACTTTGGGCTCACATGCGGAATGCTGCAAAAGGGTCTGCAGCAGTGTTTTCCATCTACACCCTTTGAACAACACTGTGTCACCATCCCTTCAGGTGCAGGAGCTGCTGCCAGCCCTCTCCTGAGCAGAGGATTTAAACAGGTCTCCCTCTCCCCCATTCCCACCCCATCTTCACTTTTGGAGCAATATTTGGAGAAAGTAGGTGGTGGGGTGACAAGCCTTAAGGCCAGGCTGCTTCCTGTCAACGTAAGGACATCAGATTCATATGCATTTGCCTTTGTCATGACAGTTACCTCCATCCGAAGGGCCATGCCTATGGTGCTGACTGTTTTCCACCGAGCCATGCATGCTCCATCCCTAAAACATTTGCAAGCCCTATCGTTTTCCTGTCCCCAATTTCTCAAAAGTACTAAAGCCATAGAGCTCCCAGTAGAATAATAGATGCTCCTTGGGAAGTGGGGCTTTATATCTCTTCCTACTATAAACAGGAGATAACATATCCATGTATTGGCTAGATCTACACAGTTGTTTTATTACCCCTAGAACTGATTTCAGATCTGCACAGTAAGGTCAATACAGCTTGATGCTTTAAAAGCAGGGAAGAAGGACTAGGGTTCTCTGCAGCTTCCTAGGGATGACGGGAAGTTTACACAAAATAAACGTTTCCAGCTGAATTTGCAAAAGCAGCTCCCTGCAAGACGAACCCCATTGCCCTAAAGCCTTATGGTCAATGTGTCACAAGCCACGTGACATTATGACATAACATCGAGTGTCCCCAGTCGAGGGCCTTTCACATCAAGTGTTTTATTTCAAAGAGTTCTTTATCAAGCACCTGGCAGACTCCTGTGACGTGAGCCGGTGGCTGCCCCTTTAAATCTATGCATAAAAGGACATTGTTATTGCAGTGACTTTGCCTCCACATGGTTGGAAAATTCACTGTAGCGCACAGGGCAGCAGTGAACTACTTTTAGGGACTATGCTACATGCCAGGCGAGGGCTGAGGCTGGCACAGATTGGCCAGGCTACTCATCGGCTGTCAGACCACTTGCTTACCCAGCTAGCTTCCCAAAGCTGGAGCAATAAGCAGAGATGTTAGCAAATTGAGATCTGTGTACACATGCTGGCTGGGGCTCTGCCACCCCCATTCCGCCCGCAGTGGAATCAGCAACACACATTGGGCAGTTAGAGACGGCAAGTGACAGGCTCATAAAAGGCTCCATAAAGAACAAGATCAGCTGGCTGATCACCATAAACAGGGCCCAGTGTATCCTGGGATTTCATGACCTTGCAATTTGCTGCAGAAACCCACCCCTTGCCTCAGAACTCTGACGCCAAAGCTAAGCTGCCATTTAGAAGAACGTTTACATGTCTAGCCCTTATGGCTGCCAAGGAAGCTGTCTAAATGTGACCGGAGTGTAAATCGATACAGAGTTGTCTTCAGGAGTCTGCAGACAGCTTGAAACCGGTAATCGGCAAAGAGGAGGAGGCTGCCCTGTTCATCGCAATGGGTTGTTAACCCAGAAACTTAATTCTGCTCATTGCCATATCGATATAGTTAGCTATTTCACTACTATATATTCTGCCTCATCTTTATCCCACAATCCCATACCACCCTCCCATTTTTCTACAGGTTCCAAAAGCTCCAAGTGTCCCTCTATGCAGCTGCCAGAGCCTCCAGCTTCTCCCTGATAACTTCTACAAAACTGCTGCGCATTGGGGAAGTGGTTAGGGCACTAGCTTAGGACTTCAGAGATCCAGGTTCAATTCCCTGCTCTGCCACAAACTTCCTATGTGATCTTGGGCAGATCACTTAAGTGCTCCGTGCCTCAGTTTCCCCATCTATAAAAAGGGGATAAAAGCAAGTCCCTATCTAAGGACAAATACAGTAAAGGTTGAGAGGTGCTCAGATACTGTGGTGATTGGCACCATAAATACCTTACAAAAATACAATAACCTGACTCGTGGCAAAAATGGAAAATCTACAGGCCCCGTGAAATAAAGTGAATTTAAGTAACACCACATAGCATGAGGGATACTCAGCAGATGGGCCAAGGATGGAACAGCCCCTGGGAACTGAACCTGCCTCTTGCCAGCTGTGATCTTTACAAATCAGGACTAAGGCATGTTGGCGGGGTCAGCATGTGAGGGAAGCTTTCCCTGCTGCTACCCATGCTTTACTCATTAATGGATAGAGGACTTCCAAGCTGGCACCACCCCAGCAATCTGCCATGGCCTCTGCCACACACGGTCCAAGGGTGTAGCATGCACTCCGTTCCCCAGGGGCAGGGCTGGCTCCAGGCACCAGCCGACCATGCATGTGCTTGGGGCGGCACCTTGTAAGGGGCGGCCAATCTTGGGTGGCAGGGGGGCTCAGTTTTTTGTTTTTTTTGGTTTGGCGGGGCGGTGCTCGAGGTTTTGTTGTTGTTTTTGTTTCGGCGGTGCTCGGGGGGGTGTTTTGGCGGCATGGTG